CTGTTGAAGAAGGAAAAACCACACTGCTTAGTACCTGCTTTGGATCCTTCAAATCCAAAGCATCAAGAAGTTGATGGATGCTAGTTACTTTAGTCCTGGAGAAGATACCTGGAGCTTGCATGAGCTTAGAGGTTACCATTTTGGAGTAGCAGGTCACAAGTGCTTAGTCTTCACATTATATAGCATTGGGATCATACTTAAAACAGTGGTAACTGTAACATTCAGAAGTACTGGGATGATCCTAGTGGGCAAAATTGTACAAAAAACAAACACCACAAAGGATTTAAGATAAAAACCAGGCAAAGGGTCACCATTGTAGTGGGTTTTATTTAACTGTTTGAACTTTGTGTATCATTCATAGTGTAAATAATGATACACAATTTAATTTAATTGAGCCCGTACTAGTTATTTCTGTCCTACTTTCCCTTAAGAATGAGAATACTGGGGAGGAGTAGGGGTGACTCCGGTGATGACCCTTTAGCAGATTGGAGTAGGGAGGAAGTAAAGGTTTTAAAATGAACAACAGGGCCCTCCCTGGTGGCACAGTGGTTTAAGTCACAGCACTATGAAGCAAGCCACATCCCCTTCAGCTCAAGTGCAATCCCCCGCCTGGGAGGTGACCCACATGGTGTGGCAGACCTCTCCTGACCCGCCCGCTGCTCCCCTCAGCAGTGTACTTCATTGATCTGTCTCTTCTGCTCCCCACTCTGTCTCTGGTGAATCCTCTCACAGCCCCTACAGCTCTAGCCTGTACCCCAGTTCTGTATGCATAAATCTTTTTTAAAAAGTAAATGAACAGGGCCCTCCCTGGTGGCGCAGCAGGTTAAAGCACAGCACTAAGAAGCTTAAGCCACTTCTGCATGAGTTCGATTCCCGCCTGCCCCGGAGGAGATCCAAATGGCGTGGCAGACCTCTCCTGACCCGCCCGCTGCTCCCCTTAGCAGTGTACTTCATCTATCTGCCCTTTCTGCTCCCCACTCTGTCTCTGGTGAATCCTGTCACCCTCTGTATCTCTGGCCTGTACCCCAGTTCTGTATGAATAAATGTCTTTAAAAAAAAAAAGTAAATGAACAACAATGTAAATGGACATATAAATAAATAAATTTAGTTTTAAAAAAGAGAATGAGAATATTGTCAAGCAAGCAAGCAAGCAGGTTCCAGGGGTGACTCTAAAAGGCTGCTTATAGGCTATATATGGGATCAACATAGATTCAACTCAATATGGTGGAAGCTGGGTGCTGTGATGGGAACATCACAGGCTTGGAAGGCAGAAGTTTCTGGATTCGATAACTAAGAAAGGCATTGGCCTTAAGAATGTACACATCCTCTGAGAACTTCACTTTCCTCATTCAGTTTACAGTGAGCTACCACCTACTAGAAAGGATTATTTTAAGGTTTCTATAAAATATTGCCTGGGCAGCCCCTGTTGTCTTAACACAAACTAATACAAAGCAAAATAACAGATTTTCTTTTTTAAGCACCTCCTGTGTGCCAGGCACTGTGCCAAGTATGTTAAGTATATAGTTGATCCTTGAACACTAAAGGTGTGAACTGCACAGGTCCACTTATTTGCCAGCATTTTCAATACATTACAGTACTACAAATGTATTTTATGCTTTTCCTCTAGCTTTATCATTAGAATACACTACAGACTATCTATCTAACTTACAAAATCTGTATTAATCCATTATATTATCTTTAAGGCTTCTGGTCAACAGCAGGCTATTAGTTTTAGGGAGTCAAAAGTATATATACATGGATTTTTGACTGCAGTGGGGTGGCAACCCTCACTCCCACATATATTGAAGATCCAGCTCTACTGGTTCTTAGCATCCCTATGAGATAGTTACTTTTACATTTTACACGAGGTAACTTGTTCAAGGTCCCTGTTAGCAAGTGGCAGAGCCAGGATGTAAATCTTACAATTTGGCTTCAGCATCTACAGTCTTGCTACTGTAATTGTACCATCCTGTTCATGTCTGCATTTAGTTCACACTTCCCCACTGCCTGATAATGACTGATGCTTGTTTTCATAAGTACAGTAAGTACAGTTAGGAGTTCAGATCTCAGATTGTCACACGGGAAGGTGGTTCTAACGCTCATCTAACTCGACTCATCCGGTCCTCTCTACAGCCTCCCTGCCAAGTGATCTTACATCTGTAAACAAAGATGCCTGTTCAGTGTACCATTCTTACTAAATTACAGAGTTAGATAAGTCGACTAAATTAGTAGACCAGATAAATTACAAAAATTAGATAAGTAGACTAGTAAATGTGAAGAAGAATTTAAAGAGAGGCTAGCATAAAATTTAAGCTTCCTGATTAATTTTTAGGTC